CTTGGAGCTCCAGAGGATGAGCTGTATGAGAAGTTCTCGTTGAGGTGGCGAGGTGTTCCAGGGGAGGTCTGATGGTATGGCACCAGTGTGTCGGTTGGGCCGTGGGCGCAGCGGCGTCCGGTGTGCGTCTCCTCTTCCTATCCTCCCTGTATCGCGGGTATGCATAGGATGAGCTTGCTGCTCAGTGGGGTCTCTGCCAAGCCTCCTCTGACGCACACCACACAAAGCTGCATCCGCAAAAACAACCCACGACAGCCAACACAGGACACGGTGGCTTTGAAGCACGGCACTTTCCAGTAACGACTGGCTTGGAAGGCATGGTGGCAGCTGTTGGTTGTTGTTCTTGCCGTTTGTGGTTTAGCAGAGCACAGTATAGAAAATAGACACATTTATCTACTGTATATTGCATATGTTGCAGCATGTTTGCCAGAAATGAATGACTTCACCATGTCCGCTTTGCTTTTTGAAAACCACACTGAATGAGCGGAGCAGCTCGAACAGCAGAAAGTATAAAGGTGATGCATAAATCAGAGAGCGGGTCGACGAGCCGGTTCAGTCCCCAGAGCTACTGTAACACAAGAGGAGCGAGGAAAACGGGAATGCTCACGGCAGACGCTGGTCCTGCTTCTGGTGGCAGCATCCACTCAGCTCCACAGAGCTGCCCACAGCAGCCATGCGTCATTACAGCTGCCGTGTTGTTCAGAAAGCCACAGCTTGTCTTTTGAACTGTACTCAGGGCACTCGCTGCGAAAATACTCACATTATTCATAGTAACAAAGATACTCCTGTTATTAAAGCAAATATTACAGTTGTGCACATGCTTTGTGCAGTTCTCTGCTGACAAATATCCACATCGTTCTGATATTTTACATTAATTAAAATGTGAATTGTGACATCCTGCTAATAGCAGTAAAGTATTCCCTGGTGGAGCCTTGCTCTGTGGTTCTCACTTGTTTTTCATTGGAACTTTTTAAATGAGAGCCAGCAGTCTGACCTGCTGAGCAACATGGCGGCTGGATATGACGCATGGCGCCAGCTCCAATGCAGCGTCTACATAGAGAAATCTGTACAAGCTACAAATGAGAGTGTTCCTATCAATGCTGTCCTCACTGTGATCCCAAACCTGCTGCAAACCAAACGCACGTGGCCCGTGTTCAAAGGTACATTCAAATATACATTCAAAATGTACAGTGCTGTGCAAAAGTCTCCACTACACTGTTTAGGTTTGACTTTTAAAGTGTAGCAGCTCTCTGAAGGTCACTGTGGGCTTTTCTATCCACTGTGACCATTTTCAAAGGAATCTGTTTGTTTGTTTGTTTGTTTGTTGGGCCACTAAACACCGACGTGAATCCTTCATGCATTAAAACCTAACTCAAAGGATGAACCGGCGCTGTCTCTGTGCACAACAGGCACCTTAACAACGATCCTTTAAACTAAGGTTACGTCATTTCTTTAGGCACTTGGTTTTTTATAAAACACTCTGGTGTGTTCAATAGAGTCTAGGAACAAATTCAAAGAGGCATGAAAGTGTATTTCTGCACTATGAAGGTGATTAGTGTGTGGTGTCCTTAACAATGTGAGGAAACCAGGACAAAGCACACACTGGCAGGGTTACAATCTACAGCAGACGATAATTATTGGAATCATTTCTTTAAGAAAAACTCCAGCAAAGACCTGACGAGATCCTTCTGGCTCTCCCGCTGCTACATCTATGGTTGGCCAGTCGTCAGAAATGGTGTCAGTGGATGGGCGGAGTCAAAGATCCATTCTTACATAAACCAAGAGACAAAGCTGAGGGATGCCGAACTACACAAGGAGGGAGCTGAAGAATCAGTGGCAGCAGGTTTGATGAAAACGTGAAGGTTTTGGTTCAAAATGTCATCGCTGTGTAGGGAAAGAGCACAACACTGACCGTCCATCTGTTTGGGCCTCAGCCACAGCTGTTAGTCTTCATTCTGATTGGCCAAATATCAACTTCCTGCCTTTAAGCCTATTAGAATTAGAACGTCAGTGTCTGCACACGTTTCTCATGTTCTAAGGGAAACAGAGAGGAATGGGCTTGGCTCAAAACTTTTGCACAGCACTGTAGGCTGGGTGTGTGAGCGAACATGTTAACAGAACAAGCTGTTCCACAGAAAAGTCTTATTTTTAAATGGATTCTTGAACTGAAGCGTCAGAGCACAATGTTGATGTACAGATGTGGGGCTGTGACTCAGAGGCGTCCGGGTGACTTCCAGCTGTCGCTCTGGTTTCACAGACCCTGACCAGCTCGGGACTGTGTGTGTCTGTTTGTGGAGGAGATGAGCGATGGAGGCACGGATACACTTCATACGATGAAAGAAAAAAGGAACAATGAGTGAAGGCTTCTTCCTTCCAGCCATCCTTCATCTGATCCATCCAATCAGCCGTTCATGTGTGTGTGTGTGTTAGCCCACACACACATTCTCAGTTTAAGTACTGATTAGTCAGTCCATGAATGAAATGAGGTGACAGAGGAAACGTATCACTTCCCTTCAGAACAAACAGGAGGGGCAATCAGTGAATCATAAAGATAATAATGCTATGGATGAAAGTCATAGTGTGTGTGTGTGTGTGTGTGTGTGTGTGTGTGTGTGTGTGTGTGTGTGTGTGTGTGGGTGTGGTGTGTGGTGTGTGTGGCTGTGTGTGTGTTTGTGTGCGTGTGTGTGTGCTTGGGCGGGTGTGTGTGTGTTGGTGTGTGTGTGTCGGGCGTGTGGGTGTGTGTGTGGGCGTGTGTGCGTGTGTGTGTGCTGTGTGTGTGTGTGTGCGTGTGTGTGTGGTGTGTGGTGTGTGTGGGTGTGTGGGTGGGTGTGTGTGTGTGTGGCGTGTGTGTGTGTGTGTGTGGCGTGTGTGTGTGTGTGTTGGTGTGTGTGTGGTGCGTGCGTGTGTGGCGTGTGGTGTGTGGTGTGTGTGTGTGTGCTGTGTGTGCGTTCTGTGTGTGTGGGTGTGTGTGTGTGTGTCGTGTGTGTGTGTGTGGGGCGTGGTAGTTGTTTCTACATCTTGATCCCCTCCTGTTGGCTGAGCTGAGACAGCGTTTTCTTGATTCGCAGAGCAGTGAGTCGTGCAGCTCCGTTGGCGTACCAGCACTCCCTCATGATCTTTGCCATCACCCGTAAGGCCTGCAGGAGGAAGAGCACACAATCAGCCTCATCAACTCAACGCACACATAAGTGTGCAGTCTGCATACTTGCTGCAGGGCGCCATGTTAGCCCAGACAGAAGCGGATAGTATAGCTTTTATTTTGGAAAGAGCCATTTCTCTGTAATAAACTCTCTTTTCCAAAGATGAGTGATTCCTCAATCAGATACAGGGCTCGCAATATCGCTAGCCCGACGTCCCGGAGGCTAGCGATTTTTTCAGTCGGGCTACCAAAATCTATCTCTTCCCTGCCCGTCGGGCTATTGTAGGAAAAATATATGTCAATGCTTTTGCATTCTTTCAGAAATGTAGCTGGGTAATTATGTCATTGGCATCGGTGAGCCACTGTCAATATGTGACATATTGAAATCGCGTTTGAATTTGCGCTTGTTTTTTTGCTTTCACTTTGCAATCGTGCGAACTGTGTATAGAGAGCGACAGCACTGATCTGTGAGTGATGATAATTTGTGCACCAATTCCTCTGACATCGTCTTATTAATCGTTAGCTTACTATAAACATGCAATAAATCACATACACACACACACATACACACACACACACTACACACACACTACAACATACAACAACACACACACACACACACACACACACACACACACACACACACACACACACACACACACACACACACACATATATAAATACAGAGACAAATAAATAAAATATAAATAAATACAAAGGGGATAAATAGAATAAATAGGAATAAAAAATAAAAATACAAGTGAATTGCACATTTCAAGTATTGAGTCTATTGCACTGTTGACTATTTACAAAAGGTATTGTACAGTGAGGTGAAGAGGCACTACAGCTTAGTTGTTTCCCCCTTAGAGCTCTAAGGTGAAAAGCACTGACGACCAAAAAGAACACAAAAGCCTGCGTGAAGGTTGTCAGTCATCCAGCTCGTCGTAGTCGAGCTCGGAAAGAAAAGCATCTGGACTTGTTTCCTCGAAGACGTTTCATCTGAGAAGCTTCTTCAGTTCTAAGAGGAACTGGTTTAAAAGACGAGTGAAAGAAGCACTGTGAGCGACCATCTTTGAACAGAGGCGGGGCTTACCACACCAACTGTCTGCCATCTATAATCCAGTTTTGAGATCCCTAACACCCACTCACATCCTGGGCCATCTGACCTCAGGAAATCACATGATAGGATGGGGCCAGGTCTCACGGCGGTTCACCCTAAACCCTGGCTGATTGTGACCCACACCTGTTTTCACACCTTGTCTCATGTGATTAGGTAGAGGATCAATAGGGGGCCTACGGACCTCTTGGGGGGACACTCCCACAGGGCTTAAATCTGGGGAACTGAAGAAGCTTAAAGAAGTCCAGACGAGCTCCTTAGACAACACCAAGGCTGGTCTCACGTCTGCCAAAAACAACCGGATGATCCCTCAGTATTTGGGAACATATTCTACCAAGATCTGAGAGGAAGTTGAACTTGTTGGAAGCTTTGCACACTATTACATGTTCAAAATAACAGCATTTCATAAAAAGATCATCATAGCAACCGTCAAACATGTGATGGTCAAGGCAGAGTCAATGATTCACAGCCTGGTTTCTGCACCTGACAGAGCCGTGAACCTTCTGTTCATGCAGGGCCAGGTAGCATAGCTTTGTTCTCTTATCAGTTCAAAACTGCTCTCACGTTACTTTAATTATCTTTGTGTAGCGTTGAAATATTAAACATGTATCTTTGACAAACAAGAAAAACACAAGAACACTTTTTGACAGTACTGTAGTTGCATGAAGGCACTCTTGATAACGTCATCGTCGTACTGGATGATGACAACATTCGCATCTATGTGGATGGTAACACTGGATGAACTGGGCCCACTGGTCTTGGTGTGGATAAGTGAGTGGGTGATAACTATCAGTGAGTGAGACTCATCCTACCTCACAGCTCTGCCAGCGGTTGGGGATGTTGGGCCGAAGCTTCTGCTCACAAACCACCCTTCTCATCTCCTCCACTGATGGATCTGACTGGACCAGGTCGTAGTAGGGCAGCTGGTAGTCCTCGTGAATGCCTGACAGAAAAACAGCTTGTAAATACTGCAAAAACTAGCTCTAGTCAGTTCATTGCTGCCACCTAATGAACTTTATTTGACCCTCACCTCCCATGGAGCAGCGACTGGCAATCTCCCAGAAGACGAGGCCCATGGCGTAGATGTCAGCTCGTTTGAAAGACTCAAAATGCTTCATGTTTATGGAGTCGTCCAGAACCTCTGGAGCCATATACCTGAGGACGGATACGACGGGCTGGTGAGCAACGCTTGGTCCAAAAACACAACCAAATACAGTCCCCACTGAGACTGTGCACCGTTACCCACAGTGACTACCCACAGTGACTACCCACAGTGATTACCCACAGTGATTACCCACAGTGCTTTGAGTGGCCACAAGATGGCAGTAATGTACTAGAATGACACAAACAGCAGCTTCATGACACCAGTGCTGGAGATCAAGAAGAGATACTGGTTTTATAAAAACACACACGAATAGAAAAACTGAAAGGAAAAGGACTACCACTACTTTGCAACCATCATCTTCTTGCGTTACTAACGTTTTACAGGTGTAGAGTGAAAGGTCAAAGGTTACCTTTTGGTCCCTACTCTGTGGTTCGGAGCGATGTCGATGGTGTCGGTGGCGGAGTCGTGCCGCACAGCCAGGCCCAGGTCAGCGATGCAGCACGTCCCGTTTTTCTTCACCAGGATGTTCTTGGACTTCAGGTCTCTGTGGGCAATAGCTGGCTTCCCTGCACACCCAGAGCTACAATCAGCACACGCCCACAGCTAACCAAGACATACACCCACGCTTACATGAACTTACAATAAATACTCGTTTCATCGTTTCCTCCCTAACTTGATAATATTTTAGTGCATGTATTATATTATGTGAAGCACATGTAACGCAGCTTCTGACAAATGCATGTCCGATGCAGAATGCCGTCCTCTCAGTATCACCCTGTTCCATAATTACAAAAACACAAACAACACCGAGATATGTTTAGTTACCAGGCCTGGGACCTGTAAGGACAGAGCTGCCCCCACTGTGCTCTGCAGAACTGTCTTGATATACTTCAGGGGACATGAGGAACAGAAACTTCCAATAGGACAGTGACCCAGTTTTCATTACACACAGCAGTGTACTACAGCAGCGAGCTGCGTCACCATACACGTCTGTCGGGACAGTATTGGACAGCAAAGGGTGATTTCTGACCAATAAGCACTGGCTTTGTGTGCGACGGCTCAGACTGATGTCTATACTCCAGCATGCCTGCCTGTATCTGACAGACTCCATGTTTCCTCAGGCTGATTTAAACATGCCTCAGTCGCTTCATGTGAGCTACTGAACGAGGTTTTTGTCACGCCTCCTCTGAGCATGTCTCCAGGCTGCTGAGCAGCACAGCTGGCACACTCGCTCGTTTGTGTTTACTATTCAAACATTTAGACGCCGATTCACCTTGGATACATACAGGCGTGAGGTTCTCACCTTGCGTGCCAACGATCTCCATGTGAAGGTGGGCGAGGCCGCTGGCTGTTGACAGAGACAGTTTGATCATGCCCTCCACTGTGACCGTGTAGCGGTTCAGGTAGTCGAACAGCGATCCGTGCTCATGGTAGTCCGACACCAGCCACAGCTGAGTCCACGTTCCATTATCTACACGCCGGGCACAGAAACATGGATCGTTATCACACTCCTCTCAGTACTGACACAGTGGCTGAAGTTTCAACCAGCAGCTGATTGAAGTGTGTGATACACACAACACCCTAACCTTTGTGTCTCTGACTCAGGGATGAGGTGCAGGGTGGAAAGAAAATGATTCAAATTTGGGTTTACATCCATCAGACCTTCAGCTTTCTACATGCCAACATCTGCGTTCACTCTCAAGTTAGAGCTCACTGTAGAGTGGGCAGCTGTGGGCAGCTGTGGGCAGCACCGGCTGATGAGTGATAACGCTGGGGATCAGCATTGCTGACAACTAAAGACCAGTGCTACCTTTCCCCACTGATGGGGAACCAGTGTTACCATTATTATGAAATTCATAATCAATATTAAAGGTTCATGCACACCAGTGAAAGCTGCCCGTCTGCATTCACTGGAATGAACGTGTGCAGAGAACGTTACACTAACTGTTCATCAAACCTGAAGACGTGCTCGTTAACGCCCTTAACTTCCACAACAGAGACGTGCAGGCACGTAGCAAGTTACTGAAACTGTAGGTCTGAGGGACAAATGAATAAACAATGAAAACAACGATGATAAAGGAAAGAAATCAACAGCAAGAAGATTCTAATTCAGCTGAATTATTTCAATTACAGTGTAAAATTAATTCACCAAGAAAAAGAACATCAGTGATTATTAACGTCTGGCTCAGCGTGTCCTTCCTCTAACCGCTCACCCCAGATGGCCCCGCCCCTCCCTGAGCCTGGAGGTTTCTTCCTGTTAAAGGTGAGTTTTTCCTCCCCACTGTCACCAAAGTGCTGCTCATAGCTGCTGTTTTCTTTGTATAGTTGTCGGGTCTTTACCTTACAATATAAAGACGTGACCAATTCAAACTAGCCTGACATTTAAGCTACGTTCACTCTGCAGGTCTTAATGCTCAAATCCGATTTTTTTGTCTGCTCGTTCACACTACAAATAAAATGCAGGGAGCAGCGTGCAGGCACGGTGCCTTGCTCAGGGGCACCAAAAGTACAAACACCAATTTTGGACCTGATTGTACTGTATATGCATACCACCTGCTTAAGGGATCACTGACAGAGTCGTGTTTGCTGCACCAGGTCGATGGTGTGTTTGATGTTGGATTTTATACACTTTCTAATATGTTTGTCTGGCTGTTACCTGGGCCAGGTCGAGCTGCTTAACTACAGGTAAATGGACACACGAATGAATACATTTATGTGTGTGACAGACAGTGTGGTAAACTCTGCGTCCTCCTGACTGTGAACTATGACCCCGTGCTGTGTACCATTCACTCGCTGCCTGCTGGTTTCTCACCTTTGTTGTCAGCAGCAATGAAGCCCAGGATATTCTCATGTCTCAGCATCACAGTCTGGTAGATCTCAGCCTCACGGAACCAGGAGCGCTCCTCTCGGGAAGAGAAAATCTTGACAGCCACCTCCTCGCCGCGCCATTTGCCGCGCCACACCTCACCAAAACGCCCCTTCCCAATGCTCTCCTGGAGGATGATAGTTCTGGCAATTGTTCTTTGGACCAGCAGTGGGAGACCTGAAAGGAAGTGGACGGATATATGAGTGATGGTCCTGCCACGCACATCCCAGAACTGAAGTCTGCGTCCCCATCTGGACATCCACCTCATGACTGTTGTCAGTAATCAGTGTTAGCATAGAGTTTGATCTGGTCAAATCCAGGTGACTTGATTAGGTGATTATGTTTTTGCTTTGCCCCTGATGACTCATAAATTTAAGAGCCTTAAATGAAGAGAGACTTCCTGATCCACAAATCCTCCTGCCGTGCTGGGACCACGCCCACCTCAACACCCGAGAACTTTAACGTTCCACTTGTTTTTCCTTTAATTTAACTTTATTCATTCATTTATCGTGGCGCAAGAGTTGGGAGTTCGCCTTGTAATCGGAAGGTTGCCGGTTCGAGCCCCGGCTCAGACAGTCTCGGTCGTTGTGTCCTTGGGCGAGACACTTCACCCGTTGCCTACTGATGATGGTCCGAGGGCCCGGTGGCGCCAGTGTCCGGCAGCCTCGCCTCTGTCAGCTGTGGCTACAATGTAGCTGCCATCACCAGTGTGTGAATGTGTGGATGACTGCATGTGTAAGGCACTTTGGGGTCCTTAGGGACGAGTGAAGCACTATACAAATACAGGTCATTTACCATTTATCGACTTGACTTCCAGCGCTGTCGGCTGCCCTTATAATAATACATTATACACACACACACACATTTCATTGTGTCGTATATGAATAAATAAAAACAACTGAAACAGGATTTTTGATCCTTCCTCAGCCGCTTTTATAATAATAATAATAATAAATTTTATTTATGAGCGCCTTTCAAGTCACCCAAGGACACTTTACAATAGGATAAAACACTTAGTAAAACAATGGCAGAATAAGAACAATAAAATACAAGCACAAGATAAAATGAACAAACAGTGGAGTCACAGTGAATATGCAGATTGAACAGATGAGTTTTGAGTTGGGATTTAAACTGGGGGAGAGAACCAATATTTCTTATTTCACAGACTTTCTCAAAACCATCAACTAAACAAACAGCCTGTTGTAGTTGATGGTTTCATCTGAATCAGCCGTCTAACTCCTGTGAATCACAACAGATGGAGGGTCCAGTGCACCCCGTCTGGGACCTACCCTGGACCCATGCTCCACGGCAAGTCTTTACCCGTGCAAACCGATGTTGGACCACAGAGGTGCTCATAGGGGCACATGGCACCAGGACACACTAGGTCACAGGTCAATAACCGATTTAGAAATTGTGTCATCAGATCTGTGGTTGGACACGGAGGTACTGAGTTGGATCAGGTGGCGGGAGAAGATGTTGGACAGGTGTACCCAAACGTGCAGCGGGAGAGCCAACATCTCAGTCCATGATATCTTTATCTGCTGTAATCGCATTCTGGGGGAGGCTGAGGACGTTGAGTGGACCATGCGCCTCACCTCTGAGGCTGCTGCAAGGAGTTGCAGCTGCAACAAGGTGCAAGGTGAAGGGAGCCGTCTTACTGGGCTTGGTTAGCCTGTTGGGCCAGCCTTGGAGTGGTTTAGGTGGTGTTCTGCACACACCGTTTACAGTGGTGGTGGGATGCTGCTGACCTTAACACAATGAAAGGAACACTGAGGATCTGCCTTCTGTAATGGAAGCAGAGCCTGGGGAGCAGGGGAAGAGTTGGCAGGGCCCCTGGGGTGGATGAGATTGGCCCTGGAGGTTAGGGATGTCCTGGCTGACACAGCTCTGCAATGCTGCGTGGCGATCTGGAGCAGAGCCTCCCGGGATGGGTTTGTGATTGCAGTCCTCAGCCTGCCTGGGAAAGTCTGTGGCACTCGAGGGTTCTAGGGTTCTGTTGGTAGAACACTGGACCAGCTCGTCATCCTCTCAGTGACATCAGAGGGTGAGTGGGAGTTTGCCGACCAGTCTGTGGGTGTTTTGTGGATGGATGGGTGGGATGTACTAGCTGTGCATGCTCTCTGATCACAGACAGGAAGCAGTGAAGAACAGATATGCACAAACAGTCCTGTGACAGAAGGCTGCTCTAATCCAACTGTATGGACTTTTAATGGCAGTTAAAGACTGAAAGTCAAACTACGATCCAAGAACAACTCTAAAAGTGTGAAAATCGTCTCACTGCTTTGGAAAACTGCTCACGAGACACAGGAAAGAAGTGCAGACTCACACAGAACATGCTCGGCAGCGTGTTGGAGGTGCCGTCATCACTCATGGCTACCATGCAGGAGAGCTTTGAACACACATTTTATAGGACGGGATCAGTGCATATAAAAACGTATCCAGTCGACCAGGGCCCTGTTTCAGGAAGCCGGTTTAGTGGAAAAACTGAGTAAGTATACCCTGAGTTAACGAAAAC